CTAAGCTTCAGGTTCGCTTTCATTGCACCAGGTAAACACACCTGTTTTGGCATTACTCTGTTGCCATCAAAAGTAATCAGATGCCTTCTTGAAGGTAATATAAGACTTTTTTTCTTTACGTCAGGTGAGGTGTTCTTATCACAGTGGACCTTGGACGTTGGTTAAGATAATATTAATTTCAAAGGGTTGGGTTTAAAAAATGTTTTCCCCCTTCAGGAAACTGTTGCCACTTTAAGCACTCTGTAGGTGCCACAATATGGACCTTGTTTCTGTGTTTTCTGTATTTTCCTTCTCTCCCACCTAGTTTATTCCCCTGATCTAGTTTCCCCCATTTGTGTCTGATTGTGTCATTCTGTCCAGGTGTGTCTAGTGCCTTTCTGTTCATTGTTGTTGGGTCTTGAATGTCAATACCTCGACAGAGCTGAGGATTTCCCTGGAGCCAGTCTCATTCGACGTCTGACCAGGAGTGGGAGCCAGCAACGAAGCCCGCCACGGAGGATTACACAGTGGAGTGTGAGGGTGCCACCTTTCCACCTGTGGAGCTGATTTGCTTCGGGTCTGTCAGTCTCCAGCTCCAGCCTTCGTCAAATGTTTATTGGATAACATATCTGCAGTATTGCATTCTAGATTTAGAAAATATCATTCGTTCTACAGAGACAGAGTTGGTAACATTTTTAAATGATGTGTTCTTGACTACTGGCACTGGTTACCCCGTAGTTCTTGTTCTTTTTAGATCTTAGTTCTGCTTTCGGACACAGTGAACCATAACATTCGTATTACTCAATTTGAGAAGTGGTATGAGAAGAAATACTCTAAACTGGTTGAAATCTTATTTTAAAGACAGAAGCTTCTCTGTGAAGTTTGGAGAACGCTCCTCAAGCTCAGCTATGCTGATACGTGGTGTCCCACAAGGATCGATTCTTGACCCAATTCTGTTCTCGGTTATTGTCGTCATGCCTTTGCTCCCGTACGTGCAGACGCATGCCCTCAGTGCTTCTGTTTTATGTAACATAGCATCCCTTCCTCCTCTCCATGAATTGCCAAGTTTGTTTTCAATCATTTGTGTCCATGTTCCAAATAGAACTGTAGGTTCACAAGGACATCGTAAGTATGAACGAGGAAGATGAATTGCCATGATCATCACCAGTTTATTGTGTAGTCAATCTCAGCAGAGATCACCACAGATGATGCATAAGTCTTACTCAAGCATGGCATACAAAACTTTCTCTCTCCTACATGTCTATTCCCCAACATGATACAACTCCCCCTAGTGGGCATTTCCCATCAAACCATGTATTTGAGTTAACACTTCTCTTTACTTGGTTACAAGAGTGCAAAACATGCAAGCATCAAAGTCGGTCTCTTTGAATGACAAAGTTCTGTGTAAAGATTAGTGACACTAGAATGTCCAGTGTGAGCAGTGATCAATGAATCTTCAGTGATTCTTGTCAAATTTATTGCAGTTTAGTTTTTGAATAAAAAAAAAGGGAGAGGCAAAAGTGAGTAATTCCATTTTCTTTATTAGCAGACACTGCAACATTAGAGAGTGTACATCATAACCTGCAGACTTCAACACGTCAGAATCACATGGTAAAAAAAATTACAATTTGCATGAAAACATTTAACAAGCTGCCATTAACCTTTAGATTTTTTTTTTGCAAGGGTCAGTGAGATATATCCGCTCTCTTAAATCTCTGCTTACAGGTTGTGATCCCCCCCACTGTTATGAATAATACACCAAAATTTAGGACAAATGATTAAACAAAAAGACGATTTCCCTCAGCCGTGTTTTAAGAACTTGATGACATCTGATTTTTCTAAACCAAATAAGTTATCAATAACAATAAATGGCATTTAAAAATACCTTTAGTGTGGCATTTTCACAGAAACCATCACTGCAAATCTACAAGGTGCTCAGCATTTAGCTTCAGTTTGTACTAAAAATCCATGCTGATGCTTATAAAACCATTGATAAAAATATTTCTCTGTGAACAATATGCCTTGGAGGTTGACAATGACACAACACTGGGAGTGATGAGGAGCTGCGACGACAGTGTTGATGAGAGGCAAGAGTGCTACTCAGACTTCGCTTCCTTCGCTTCTTTTTGAGTCTGTGTGACCTGAGGATGGTTTGAGAGGAAGAAATCATCAAGAATAATTTTTTTCATGTCAAAAGATAGGAAGAATATGCTAGTGTAACAGCATTCCAATTATTTTATTCCACACAGTCAACACAAAATGAAAAGTAAAATGAGCTTATAAAAAAAATAAAATAAAAACTGACTCTGCAGTGTTTCTATGGACAGTCTACTGTGAAATGAGATTATAACACACCGCTTTGGTCTTGGCCTCTCAATTTTCAGAGTGGTTCTCCTCGCTGGCTGCAGACTCTGAGCTCTCCTTGGCCTTCACCTTGGTCTTTTTATCCTCCTTTTTGACATTGGC